TTGCTCGTAAGCTCGTGGCCGCTATGCCGGACAGAGCTTTCCTGCGTCGTCAGTTCTCGCCCAACTCTCGTCGTCTTACTTTGTTTGTTGAGCGGATGAACCGCCTTGGCTTCGAGATGGACTCGAGCAGCAGTGGCAGCCTCCAGAGCTCTCTCTGCAAGGTGCAAGATGTGGATCTTCGCAAGGTAAGACTTTCCTATGCCCACCGTTATAGATGCAGGTATTAACACATAATGCAGGGTATGGAGACGCTCATTGCCAAGGCCATGCAGCGTGCCAAGTACTATGTCAGCAGTGGTACTCCCGATGAAATGCGCCAGCACTATATGCTCAATGTGCCGGCTTACACCCATTTCACCAACCCCTCTCGACGCTACGCCGATATCCTTGTGCACCGTCAACTCGAGGCTGTGCTCTCTGGGGGTACCGTGGAGTTCAACGACGATATCGAGTCACTGAACAAGACTGCTGATCTTTGCAACAACAAGAAGGACTCGGCTCTCAACGCCCAGGAGCAGAGTGTACACATTGAGGCCTGCCGTAAAATGGACCGCAAAAGTCGCGAGATTGGCGGCGATCTTATCAGCGAGGGCATTGTACTATGCGTTTATGAGTCTGCCTTCGACGTCCTTATTCCGGAATTCGGCTTTGAAAAGCGTGTCCACTGCGACCAGCTGCCGCTGAAGAAGGCTGAGTACCGCAAGGACAGCCGTGTACTCGAGCTGTACTGGGAGAAGGGTGTTCCCTCGTCCGCATACATTCCCGAAGATGAACGTCCCAAGCCCGGTAACTCCCGTGCTGCTCAAGCCGCCGCGGCTGCTCGCGAGGCCGACGCCGCCAGAGAGCGGGCCAGAGAGCGTGATGAGGCCATGCGTAAGCAAACCGAGACCGGCACAATGTCTGCGGACGATGTCGATGCCCTTTTCGACGACGATGAGGATGTGGATGATGTCACTGAAATGGCAGCCGGGGTGTCGCTCAACTCCGCCGACCGCTCGACTCAGAGCATGCCGCCCTCGCCTACCCGCAACGGTCACCACCAGCAGGGACCTCACCGTACTCGCTCGGACCCCAAGATTGCCTCCGGCACTGGTGATGTGCCTGAGAACAAGTTGACCAACAAGGAGAAGTACTTGAACCTATTCAAGCTGCGCGAGGTGGATGGAGACTTCATTCAGGATGTCACAGAGATGACCCGTGTTCCCATCATCCTGAAGACTGACCTGAGCAAGAGTCCTCCGTATGTATTCTTATCCAGCGGTTTTTTTTTCTAACATGAGCATTCCTAGCTAACTTGTGATTTCCATTCCAGATGCCTCACTGTTCGGTCTGTCAACCCCTACGCCCTGTAGAGGTCTGAAACTCGGCTCTGTTTTCTTCATGGGATATATTTCTTGCATGCCAGCCTGCAGATTCTTCGCTCAAGCGGAGCATGCTGTGTCTCGTGCACGCCTACGGACATAATCCAATCCCGACGTGGATCGAACATATCGTTATCGGCATATCTTTCCTTGGTTACGCTTTTTCTCGGTGGCTTCATCCAATTATCCCAATTCTACCCATCATTTTTTCGACGCGTCGTGGGATTCCTATACGTATCCTGTTATATGTGCAAAGCGGTTGTTTGTCTTTTTTTGAGCATTTTAGTTGAAACCTGGGCAAATCTCTTAGTGCCAGAGCTTGCCTGGTTTTCTTTGTTCTCGTTCTCTGGGAATGTTTGGAAACTTGGCGGGAAGGACATTGCAGCTCGATAGTCCCAGAAAATCCTTCCGATTAATCTACGGTATTACAACCTTATACCTACTCTCCACCTGGGCAGGGCTCTTTCTACAGACGTACAATTAATATATCTGGTCACAACGTCATTAAAGTATCACAATATTGCTGAAGTGCAAGCTCAACCTAGAATATAGATAGAGGTCATGAAGTTGCGCCACATTGTTGACTGCACTATCAACCCATCATATAGGTGTTGCTTAGCTCCTGCTAGAGAATGAACCCAATCCCAACGCCCGTAAGAAAGATGGCCGGGGAGCACAGTTCATAGCTGCTATATCTAGAGACGAAGTGATTTGTAGCTACTTCCCTCGAGACTCACAGTAACTAGTGGATATCATGAGACGTGTAATTTCATATGAATTCCTAAACAAACAAACAAATATGTCCAAGCTAAGTCAAATTGTAACTCCAGGGCCACCGTGCCCAACCTGGCTATGTTGCCAATGCAGTAATAGAACCAGCTCCACAAGTTCTTCTCGCTCCTCGCTTCATGCAATTTGTAAGTCCGGTTGAATTCAACAGACCAAGGGTATCAAGAAATATCGCTAACGGGGGTAGTGAAATAGGTGTAGATAGAGGGAGAGCGAAAGCCAAACGGAAAAAAATCAGCTTGACTCAGATCATGTGTTGGTTTTTTCCAACCATCAAAATGAATTGGAGGGCTGAAAATGCAACAGAAAAACAGCCCATCAGATTAAATCAAGTTCCAGATATATGGATGGGTTTCTCATAGCCGGCGAATGCCAATGCGCGGCTTTGCTCTGACGGCAAGGCGTTTGTGTAAGCCGCTCGTGGCTTTCTTCTTGGAGATTCCAGAATTGGAGGAGCCTGAGAGAGATGACGATGATAGTGACGGCGTGGATAGTGGAGCATGTGCTGGAGAAACGGGAGTAGAGCCATTGAGCGTCTTCATGGGTTGGTATTCACGCTTCTCTTTCAAACCGCGCCCGGTTGCAGACCCGCGATTCTCTTTGCCGTCCCCGCTCAGCCGCCGTAGAGGGTCTTGCATGGCCAGCTGGGGCAAGTCTTCGAATATTGGCATCTCATCGCGGAGACGGCCGGAGGCATTGACTCCTCCACAAAGTAGGGAGAGCTTAGGTGTTTTCCGTAGTGGTGATGAAGTACGGGAACGTGTGTTTGCAGTGATGTTTCGTTCATTGGAGGTCATGGCGGGGGCGTCATTGTCATTGTCGGAATCGATGAGCATCATGTCTGCATCGGAGTCTTCCGGGTTGTGAATTGAGAGGACGGAGAGGGGGCGTTTTCCCAACGCAGTCTTACGAGGACTCGGGGGCGCGAAGTAGACAGGGGAGAAGGAAAGAGTTGGGTTGTTTTCTTTGCTTGCGCTAGCGGGGTCGTCACTTTCGCTGTCGACATCGTCTGTCATGGACGGGGGAGGTTGAGCGAAAGGATTTGAGGATTGTGAAGGATATGAGGACTGTGATGTGCTTTCAAATGCAGTGGTATTGCGGGCGGTTTTCTTGCTTGTAGCGGTATGGGTGCGGGCCTGTTTCCGCGGTCGTTGAATGACTGCGTCCTCTTCTTTCTCCTTCAGTGTGGTCCCTGCCTCCTCACCTCGGAGCTTTGCTTCGGTCACTGCGTCCTTGAAGTTGGGTGGGATCGGGGCGTGGATTGAGGTCATGAGCTTGGCTTGGTGTGCGAAGGCGTCATAGTTCTCTTGCATGAGAGCGCCCGCGGAAGAGTTGAGGGCAGAGTCAGGGTTGGGGTAGATAAGCAGGCATGAGATTGTCTGAATAGGAACAAGTGATGTCGTTAGTTAGGAAACTCATTCCCCTAGTGCGGTCCAACGTACCACCAATACATCGCGGAGTGTGAGATTGGGCTGCCAATCCCGCTTAAGCGTATCCACACAGACAGCTCCGGTGAGCTCCTCCATGTTCGGATGCCATATCTTCGTCTTAAAGGTAGCCTTTGGGGGACTCTTAGGATAGTCATCGGGCATCTTAAGATGGAGCTCCCATAATCCTTGTGAAAAAGGTGTGCCCGCTGGGCCCGTGAGAAGTATTGTCAGCTGTGACAGGTCGTCACCATCTGACGGCTGCAAGTAGTACGGCGGAAGGTCACGGTGCAAGGCAGCGTGATCGGCAGCTAGCCGGCGCAAGTTGGACGGCTATATATCCATGTCAGATACAGAGCACGAGCATATATTGGTTGCTGGGGAACCAGTGTGTGTCAATGAGTTGAAAATGAAGGACTTACCATGCTGGAGCTTTGGATGGTTGTAAGGTACTAAAAGAGTAGGGTAACCTAAGTTGGAGAACAATGCAAATTCAGAAAGTGATCCGGACCAGTGAAAGCACAACAATCACAATCACAATGATAAGAGATGGTTACTTCGTCGACGGTTTGTTTTGAGTGGAGGTCGCACTAGCCTTTTCGGTCGCGCGTCAGTCACGTGGTTTTGTCGCGTCATATGCGCGTAACTAATATTGCCTCTTTGGGATTGCCCTATGTTTCACCTCGTCCTTGCTATATCCCTTGCTATCCCATGAGACATCTATCGTAAGTAGCGAGGAATAAAGGGGGAAGATTAATTGAGCAAAATCTCCTTATTTGGAGAAAAAGAAACCCATGAATACTTAAATTATATCATTCATACGTCAGGTTTACAGGAAGAGGAAGAAGGTCCAGCTGTCTACGACCAGGCAGTAATGGGGCTACTCACGGTGTCCAAAGAGCTCCGACTATGCACATTATCCATAAATTATCCCAATCCGTAAGTTGCCACTTTGTAAGGCATCTATCTGTCTACTAAAGTCAAACGTAGCCAATCAACTCAGTAGAGTACATGTACTCCGTATGCATCTAGTTCGATATTATGTAGATGGTAAAGTAAGGATCACCTTTTCCTACATCTGACGTTAAGTCAACGCATCACTGGGAGAAATCGAGCGAGGAATAAAGGGAGAAATAAAGGGGCATGGGGCTGAATAGGTCATGTGGAGGGGGGCTGGGCATTCATGACACACACTTCAGTTCTCCGCAAACACACTACAGTCTGTCTTCTTGAAAGAAGAACACGACCATTGCAAGCCTATTTTCCGGGGCCATTAAGCCCATGTTCAACCCCAGCCATATCACGACAATCACCTTATGCCAACGAGAAATACACGGTTGGGTGGATATGTGCATTGCCTGTTGAACTGGCCTCGGCAAAAGGCATGATGAATGAACAGCATGGAGACCCACAGACCCTTCCAATGGGAGCAGACAACAACACATATGTCCTTGGCTCCATGGGAAAGTTCAATGTGGTTGTGGCTTGCCTACCAATACATCAACTTGGTCCCTCCTCAGCCGCTGCCGCCGCGAAAACAATGCTCTTTACTCTCCCTAAGATCCGCGTTGGCTTAATGGTTCGCATTGGAGCGGGTATTCCAGCCTACGATGAAGATCTGGATATTCGCCTTGGTGATGCCGTTGTAGGCAGTAGCGCAGAGAACTGCAGAGTCGTGGTCTATGACTTTGGCAAAAAGATTGTAGGTGGTTCCTTTCAAAGCCTGCCGCTGCTTAACCGCCAAGATCATTGAGCACTGCCCTCATAAGGCTCAAGGCTCAACTTGAAATGAAGGAAAACAAAATTATGGATTATATTCGGGAGATGGTTGAGATATACTCCTTGATGCGGAAGACTGGCTACACTCACCCCGGCTCGTTGATGGATCGATTATATGAATCAGCCTACTAACACGCTGATGGGAAACCACGTATTAACTGCGAGTCAACACAGGAAATTCCCCGAGAACCACGAATAGATGAGGCCCCAGTGATCCATTCTGGAATGATCGCATCAGGAAGCACTGTGGTCAAAGACACGATTATGCACGATGAAATCAAGGCAAAACATTGGGCAATAACCCTCGAGATGGAAGCAGCAGGTTTAATGAATAACTTCTCGTGTATAGTCGTATAGTCGTTCGAGGGATCTCAGTATGTGTCTTGGTAGAATAAAGAATAATATTTGAATTAGAAAACCAGAACCTATGGCCTTTACCTCCTATTCCAGCCCCAAGGACAATTATATCAAGGTCCTTGCGTGTCATTGCGAGAAGCTGTGGACTAAATACAGGGTACTCCAGATATGTCGTGTAATGCGTGTTCTAGATCAAATCCAAATTCACCCACTCGTTAACGTGACCATGTACGACATACATGCGTAGTACCTGTCGCGGGATATGCACCACAGCCTATACCACTCACCCCCTTGCAAGAATTAATATTTACTTTTTGCTGCAAATATGAGCGAGCATTGTCCGTCATATGCATGAATTATTATCACGATATTTGGAGATTGTGATACGTCTAAAGCACATTTATAATCCATACTCTCGATACATACGTAGGGAATTAAGACTCGTAGTTACCCAGGGATGGATTAAGTTAATCACAAAGAGAGAAGAGAAAAAAAAATTCGGGACCAGGTGCGCCGTGAATATGCGCCTCCGGGTACAACGCAGTGAAACAGACGAGGCCTGCCCAATGATAAAGAATTACAAATTCAATATGAAACCTTGGGGGGAAGGGGGGAGAAAATAACAAATTCCCCCCCAAAAAAATAATAACCGATGTTCGCATGTTCATGTCCCTCATTCCCATTAATCCAGATACTGGATCAACATAACCGACCGACCGCAACCAAACCCTCGCCTAACTGAGACCGAAGCGGATATCACAGTACGATAGAGGAAAGGAAATTGGCGTTAGCCAGTCGGACTCATAATTTGCTTACAGGAAAGCAACAAGAGCAGCACCGGCAACCATGCCGAGACCGACGGGGCCAGCGGTGGCCATAGCAGCACCGCCGGTAGAGACTGATCTGGAAGCAGAAGCAGACGAGCTGGAGCTAGAGCCAGAGCCAGAGCTGGACGAGGACTCGGAGGAGTCGGAGGTGCTGGTGGAGGTACCAGTGGCGTTGGAGGAGGCTGAGGTCTCAGTGCCGGTAGCAGAGGTGCCGGTAGCAGAGGAGCCGGTGTCAGTGCCAGCGCTGCTAGAGGCAGTGGACAAAGTGGTGTGGGTGGCGCCGGGGCCGGCGACGGGCGAGGTCAGGCCAGCAGGAATAGAGGCGGCGGGCTGCTGTGAGGTCACGGCAGCGGCCTGGCTGGTGACAGCAGTGGGTTGAGTAGTGACGGCTTCAGGTTGGCCAGTCACCACGCCGAGAGAGTTTGTCTGGGTCAGGTACTGAGTGGCAGGGTTGTCAACGGTCTGTTGGGTTGGTTAGCTCATGTTCCTTTGGTAGTGTGGTATGGGTTGGTTCTGCTTACCTCGACGGAGGCACTGCTCTGGGCACTGGCCAGGGCAATGGCCGAGAGGGTAGTGAAGACGATAGAGAAACGCATTTTGATGGATTAGAGATTATATGGATTATTGTAAGAAAATATGGAGAACGTGGAGAGAGAAATAAAAGTGATCACAGAAAAAGGCTGGGGGTGGTGGGATTATAAGGCTGTTGGTTGTCCTGGGAAACAACGGAGGTCTCATGTTGTAGACTGTTTACCCACGTATTAGGACCAGTGACTTTTGCCAATACCTGTTCCAGTCAGCGATCAGAGTCTGGATTTAGTACAATTTGTGATCTGCAAGGTCTTGCAGTTCTATTTTGGTCGATTTCTGGGGTTACACCAAATCCATAAGCCCTATGTATTTGAATGTTATTAAGATATTCACCTCTACAATGCGTGGCAAATATATTTAACTGCAATGACAGCAAATCCAGAATCAGTTCCTCTTTCTCTTGTGCAAAATCAAAAAATAATTGGAAAACTTGGAATAATTGGAAAACTTGGAATAATTGGAAAACTTGGAATACTTGACATTGACTGGTGGCAATATGCCGACACGAACTAATTTAACCGCGTCTGCCCACCTGGACGCCCCGTACTCTGTAAGTAATCATAACAAATATAAAAAAAACTATAAACTTGGAACGATATGTCTCAATTTCAGCCTTGGTTGATTCAGTAGCGTGAAAGTTTACCCTGTAATTTACTACCTAGGTGGGACATACCCTTGACCGCGTGGCGGCATACGACTCCCTTTGGATACCATCCAGTTCAATTCTGGATTTTCTCGCATCTGACTCAATATAAACTAACTAGTTACTCCGTATGAGTAATAGTTTCTTGGGCCTCAAATGGCGCGATCCTACGTGTCTTGGGGCTAAGAAAGTCGAACCAGCCTCCAAGTGAGACATCACTTTGGTCGGCCATCAAATCAGGTATGCCGGAGGTTAATTCTATACCTTTTCTTCTACCATGTACTCGGCATGATTGTATTATGTTATTGTTATAATAATATAACTAGTTAGTTAGCCAGCTTAAAACCATCTAATTTACAAATTCTAGCCTACGGAAGTACTCCATCCACGAATTGTCTCGAGTTTGGTGCTTTGGGCATCAGCAACCCCAAGCCGTACTTTGACTCCTCAGATCGTCAGAGGTGGGTCAATTTGAGACAAGTCAACGGCTCGGTTAACTCCATCCAGTAGAGACCGCATCTATATTTATATTTTCTTTTTTTCTGGGCGTCTTGACTAAAATAGCACCTTCTTACTAGAATGTCAAAAGTGGACAAAGACGGTCGACATACTATACCCGTACCGTGCACCTCGGAGGTTTAAGCTTGATCCCGGAGCACTGCAGACGGTCTTTATCGTGACTAGCTGGACAGTACTATTGATGTGCATATTGTGTCATCAGGTTGTACAGTATACAATCTACAGTACTACATGGCTACACCTGCAATTCGCCTTGGTCTCGACTTGCCTTCTACCCATCACCAGATACAGAATTGCGATCATATCAATGCATGATTATCTGTGCTGAGAGCCAAGCATTCTCCGACGACTCTGGAATAAGCTTGCCTTTTGCTAAGCAGACGATATTAGCCCCCTTGCTTATTGGGCTAATCACAACAATTTAGGCGGAGTCATGTTTTCAATGGCCTAAGCTATACATCGCCATCCTGCATCGGTGTGACACGGGAATACAAATTGGATGCGCCAAAAGCGTCTATATCTGACAATGATTCCACTTACCAAGGTCACAAGCAGGCAGGCAGGTGGGCAGGTGGGTAGACGTACGGGTGGTATGTATGTGCAACCTCTCAGTCGCCTCCAGAGTATATCCCATGAACATGTTTGCCACCTCACCACGGGCGCATGCCACCAGTTATTCTCCAAGATCAGTACAACGATCATCGGTTTCCAGGGGTAGATATCACAATCAGCAAAAAAAACTGAGCATCTCAATTGCCGCAATGCATATTATACAGCTCTCCCCCCACTGCAGCACATAATCACAAACTCAATATTCAATATCCAACAATCACTCCTTGATCAACACATCCTGACCGCGGACCCAGTCTGCAAACTCCTTTCGCTTAGCCTATATTTGTTTTCCAAATGTTAGCTACCGAGATTCCTGGCCCAACGCAAAGATTGATGTCCAGCAATAGAAGGACATCTCCAATAAATCCAAATCCAGATGTAGTGCTGGCAAGACATGCATCCAGGTAGATCGAAGACTCACCCGAATATCCCAGAATCCATAACGCTCCTCCAAACTCAGGTACGGGTTGCGCGCTCCGCCGTCCCGTTCAATCTCGCCCGCCCATTCGCGCCAGCTAATTGGTTTCAACTTCTGCGCACCCAAGACCAGTCCGATTGAAACGATTAGTACGGAAACGAGGGTTTCGATGATAATGTCTTGTGGGAGGGCGGTGGATGTGAGATTGCTGTAAAGGACGGTGTGTTCGTGCGCCGAGTAGCCTCTGTAGAACGGGTTGTTAGCTTCGCTTGAGAGAGGGTAGACATAGTTGTTAAGCGGATAGTCGGAAAGCTTACGCGTGAACTATCAAGACAAGGCCGAAGAAAGTGACAGCGCGGGAGAGGAAGCTCATGATGGGTGGTGAGATTGGTTCTAGGTTGCGGGTTGGGGTTCGGTGGTTAGGTCGGGTCGCTGCGGGTTTTTCTCGTCTGTGGATAGTTCTAGATAATCCCCGCTGGAATTATTGAGGTGGAGATGAAGCCTGGGTCCCTGGCTGTGGACGGTGTTGTGATGCCGTTTGATACGTTGGCGGGAGGTTTGTGGAGGCCCCGGCCGTCAGGCTCATCCCGCGGTTTACCTAATCAACTTTTGACTGGCTCGGATTGCATCACATCTATTGCATTTGTTCATCCCACTGTTGAAAATGATTCATGGTTCTATTTCTACTTCTCTAGTTAATAAAAGGGATATCTCCCTAACTAACTACTCAGTGAACCTTATATTCATTCCATGCAATATCAACCCCGAAACTGAACATCAGAATACTACTACTTTGTTACATATCTACAACCCCATCAACGGACATTCTGGTATCAATTGATGAAATAAACCGGTGTATCTGACCGAACATCAGGGCTTTTTTTTGTATACTTCCTTTCGGTGAATTCTACGACGCCAGTGGGCAACACAGTAGATCAGCCCCTGAGCCAGGGTAACACTGTTCGACTCTACTGTCCAACCCCGATCTTCCCCGGCAACCTCTGTGATAGCGAAAGAAAAAAAAAAACTGTGCTTTCTGTGCAAGCTCCATCTTTCGGAGGATGCAGACTCATAGATGGCTTAAAGTGGCCGTCATACAGGTAGAAAATATGGTTCAAGAAAGAGAGGAGAAACACGTTTGATAGACCTTGCAAGGTTTACTAGCCGGTCTGGAACTAAAAAGATCAAGATCGAGGCACTCCGAATTACCCGGTCCACACTCTATACGTGTAGTTATCCGTGGATTGGGCGGTGGGAGTGCAACATAAAGACCATATTCCTTCGGTCACTTACGGTAGTTTCTTTCATTAACAGGAATCAAAATCTGGCACTGATTGTTCTCTCATTTATATCATCATAATTTCCCTTTGGTCTCTTGACATGGCACAATTGCAAAGCGATATATATCCATATTCTTCTCATTTTCTTGACGATCAGGCTACAGAGCCTGCGCCTCAATATAATGACCCTCCGAATACCCCAGTCCCCCGACTTGTACAGTCGGTCACACCCGATGCCAATCAGCTAGAGCAGCTTCTTATCGGACTTATTAGCAGGGTGCATCCTTTCGATCCATCTTGTTCCCTGCTATCGACTCCAAAAAGCACATCTGATGAGTAAGACTGGCGATATTGATCCCAACAAATGTATGATGTATCTAGTTAACGCTTGGTAAAATAGGGCAACAAAGGGCCGAGGTTTAGGTCAAGATCAAAAATTCCAATACTAAAAACAACATACACGATCTGAACGTCGTCTAGGGGTGATTGTTACTGCGCCAATAGCGTTTACTCGTTCAATAGTTTCATGCACACCGTTCTTCTGCCACCTCATCGATTCATTGTTGTAGTTGCATAATCTTGAGAGAGATGTCAACTTATTCAACTAATCACGGTACAGGCCCTAGCAACATAACAAAACAAGAGGGCAAAAGGACTGAGATGTAAGTCAGAAAACCCGCTTAACATGGGTCATCTTTTGAAATTCATGCTCTGTGATCTGATTCGGGTCTTTGGTGTCCTTGATATCATAGTCCCCTTCAGGATCGATGCCATTAAGTTGTGTGCGATCAATCACCCGGTCTATATCTTCAATCGAGATATTTTTGGTCTCAGAATAAACCAATGCGACAAACATTGCTTGCAGTGCCTCCCACGCACCGTTGATCATGTATATCTTCCAACCAATAGCTTCCAGTGCGATTGGCATTACCGGTATTGAGAGAAGTCTATGGCCTTCATCAGTTTGCTGAATAAGATGCTAGTAATGGAAGAGAAAGCTGACCCGCAAATATTAACAACCAAGGTCCAAACAGCCATACCATTTACACGAATGGAGTAGTTGAGTACCTCAGGTGGATAAAGCTGGGTTATGGGGGTGATGCCAAAGCTATAAGACCCTTGGAAAATGAAAATCATGGCAATTATGGCATATACTCCGGGCATATGGGTTCCGCTTCCAAAGACTGAAAATTGTGTATTAGTATGCGAATCAGATATCAAACTTTGAACCGAACGATTATGGATGACAAACACTTGGTTAAAATTGTAACTAAGAGCGAGCCAATGGCCATCATAATGCATGCCGACAAAGCACAACGTTTTTCACCTAATTTCATCTGTGAGAATAGTGCCAGACATTGCGCAGACTAATGCCCATGAATTGAAGACGATTGTCTAAATGTTTGTTAGGTTTATCTCATGAAAACTCTAGCCACTGAAGCTACCAAGACTAGTACTTACGACTTGAAGCTGTACATGATTGTTGTATAGTCCAGCCGCTTGATTTGGGCTGCAATGGTCGTATAGAGCCAAATTTCACAATGCTGATAAGTTGGCCCATGTCAAAGATTTGGAATGATACGTTATTGGTGTAGTCGGGAAGTTCTGGTTCTTTTATATCCTTGATACATGAAAGGTCGTGGAGGATTACTACTGAGCCAGTTCTTATCTGAGAGAGTTTGGTTCTATCAAAAAGACATGCAGTCGCCTAGCAAAACCCAACCTAGGGAGCCAGATCTAGAATGAGTCGAGATCGCCAAGTAAATAGTAGAATAACTTGGAATGTTGAGAACTACGGACAACATACATAGTAAGTTCTTACCCGTACCGATAACGGCTACGGATCTTACAAGGTACAGTACCTGACAAAGATCCGGGGGTCAAGGCGTAGTGAATCACACGGGCCGTGCCTACATAGACACCTCTATGGAATAAACAAGGCAGGGGCGGCCCGGGGAATGCTTGATGCACACACAACCTTCATTGGCGCGTCCTCATCTCGACATTCCAACCTTGGAAGTTAACCTACATGCTGGACTTGTCTAACTCTCAGTGATCAACCGGTTCTCTCTTGCTTTTGAAACAGTATTTATTTGTTGAAAATGATACACCTCAAGTCTTCCGCTTTCTACATTGAAAACAGACTCTTCAAAGATGTCATCAAGCGAGAAATATTCTTCGGTGTCAGTCCTTGAAGGCTTGTCCACAGTAGTAAAAACGTTAAGAATCCATCCCCGGGTGTTCGATTGATTCCCTCTCCAAGCCCAGATTTGTTGTGGTAAACGTCACGTTCCCAAATCGACCCGACGCACCAACACGGAAACCCTGGGTACACGTGGATCAATCGCCTCTTTGACGGGGACTGCATTGTGTACAAGGTATCATATGCTTGTCACCATCCGGTCCCAAAGACGGTAGTCTTATCATATAGCCCGGATTCCATGTGCATAACGAAGAATTTTTCAATTCCCGTCCAGACAAAGACTCCTGGCCGCCGCTCAAAGACATCTACTTCTTTCGAACCGAGCAACTGGATTGGTTCAGAGCCCGAGGTATGGGACCACACAAGGTCAGGTCTGCGCGGAGCCTGGGGACCTCAATCTATGGAATAGCCGCACAATCCACTATAGGTCTGATTTCACGCCAAAGAGTAATCAAATTCGAACGGCCATATATGCGGCATACACACCGGCTTCCATGGCAAGCCCCGGACAACTGGCTCTCAAAAACCAGGTCTTCGAGCGTTGGGGAGGAACCACTCATTGGCCCCATGATCACGTAGTGGTGCGCAATACTCAAGTGATGCTTGAGGATGAGACAAGAGATCCAAGAGATAGGGATTACCCGCTAGAGCTTCCATGATTGAATGACAAACTGCTGAAGTTTGTGGGGGCCAGGTCTTATTAGGTCATCGCTATATAGTACTAGTGCAAGGACGAAAAGGTGGCGGAAATATATATCGGGAAGAAGCACCTTTCAAATGGGTTAAACAACGCTTTTTTTTTTTAAAAAAAAAAAAGGTTCAATGGATTCTAAAGCTTCGTCTTTATCATGTAGAATAGGTACTACTCAAGCATCTATGCAGGCTTTATAACCCACGCTTTTATCAACTACAGCCAAACCGCCATCCCCAAGAAATTATGACGAGACAACGACGTCAACAGAAACAATTCAGCGACTAGGTACCTAAGCAATTGTGATTAATTACCCGAGACTATTGATTCAATATTGGTTAGAAGATCTGCTATGCACATATGTACATATTCAGCGTTGATATACAAGACATCGAACGCCCGAAAAGTCAATATCTGTCTTTGACATATTTATGGGAAAATTACACTGGAAAATTTACAGGGGTATATAATGGTCATGAATTTTTTTAAATTTTTCATCAATGACCGGTCACTACTGGACCAGCTTTCTAGTTGGACTAGGTTCGTAAAGGATTCCTTTGACATCACGCATTTCCATCACACAATTCCTGCTTCATAAATGGGCATCGCAAATTTACAGCTTCTGCATGGCAGCGATGTCAGTGGACTGGACGTGGTCCTCATCCTCCTCGATCTTCTGCTGGAGCTCATCGGTGGAAACCTTCTCGTCCTCAACGACAAGGTTGATCTGGAGCTTCTTGATACCGAAGCCGACGGCAACCCACTTGGAGGCACCCCAGACGAGGCCGTCCCACTCAATGGCGCGGACGTTGGCCTCGAGCTCCTCAAGAACAGTCTCATCATCTGGAAATATTTGTTAGAATCTGAAGTAAGAAAGAGATTGGAAAAGACATACCCCAAGGCTTAACTTCCATAGTGACGAGGGACTTGGCAGCGGGCTTGGTCTTGCCGGCCTTCTTGGCCTTGTATTCCTCGAGACGCTTGTTGCGCTCAGCAACGACCTCGGGGTCCTCCTCCTCAGAGTCGGAACCGAAGAGGTCCTCGTCATCCTCCTCCTCCTCGGGCTTGTCCTTGGGGTTGGAAGGAAGGTCGACGGTCTCGGGACCGTAGGCAGTGAAAGCTGCGGAGGAGTCACCGGGGAGGGTGGAGAATTCGCTCTCGTAAGAAGCGATGTGCTTGTACCAGCGGGCAACGTGGGGGTACTTGGCAGCGTCAGGGGCGGCGCTGAAGGCCTTGAAGGTCACGACATCGGCCTGGCTGGGCGAGTTGCTGTTGAACAGAGTCAGCATTGATGTTCACATCAGATGTAAAGTATTCAACAATGTAGCATAGTAAAGCAAGATCAGAGGTGCGATTGCTCGCGATTGGTTGTAGTCATCCAGCGGGGTCTTAATCCGCCTCCTAAACACGGACCAATGTTTCTCATCATGAAAGCATAACAGGAAAGGAAAGAGAAGGAAAATATATAAGGCCATTCAAGGGGGGGGGGGGGGGTTCATACCCAACAATGTAGGACCGAGTGGACAGGAAGTTGTTGGCCACTGAGGGGCACAGTCAGTCACCAATTGATTCGAAATAACAAAATCTCAGGGGCGCCTACGAGTCAGGCCGGCATCAGAGACAAAGTCGGTGAAACCCATTGTGAAAGAGAGGTGTGTTGGTATCTGGAAGGAAAAGAAAAAATAGGAGAAGAAAGTAGATGTGGGAGGGGTTAAAAAGGGAGGATTTTTTTTTTGTTACGGAAAATCTCTAACGGAGTCACGGAAAAACGTGGAAGAGCGAAGACTGGTCAGGTGACTTATGCTTATTGGCGACATAGCTTGTCTGGGCTGGTCATGTGATTGACTGGTGACCTCAGCTTTGACTAGTCAGGTGACTAACTGGTGACGGAGCTTCAGAGCTCTCCACCACTTAGCGTTCGCTATGTGGATCTTTCGAGAAGCCTCTCGAGGGACCTCGGTTGTTGATATTTAAGCTATACCAGTGACATTTCAGGTCTTGGGTTACTTCACGGCTTTTTGTTTTTCTCTCCCAAGGCCTGATTTCCATTATCTACATCATGGCGGCGAGATTATCCCTCAATGCCCGCAGCCGGCTTCTGCGAACGCCTCACCTATCATCGACCCGTCTTCTGTCCCCGATCCCGAGAACAAGCATACTGCCCTGCGCCTCTATCGTTCTACCAGCCGTCAACCATAGCCCAGTAGCTGTCCGCCACTATGCCAAGGGGGGTCGTCCACACCCCCCGGGCGGCACCCACCGCATGGATATGAGTGGAGAGGACGAGAAACCAGCACTCGAAAAGTATGGTATTGAGCTCACGGAGAAAGCTAGAGCTGGCAAGCTGGACCCAGTCATTGGACGAGACGCCGAGATTCATCGAACTATTCAGATTCTATCCCGGCGAACTAAGAACAATCCGGTGCTGATCGGTTCTGCTGGAACTGGTAAGACCGCCGTTCTCGAAGGATTGGCTCAGCGGATTGTACAAGGAGATGTCCCGGAGAGCATTAAAGATAAACGGGTTGTTTCATTGGATCTAGGCTCTTTAATTGCGGGAGCCAAGTTCCGGGGCGACTTTGAGGAGCGTCTGAAAGCCGTCCTGAAGGAAGTGGAGGATGCGCAAGGTGGGGTGATCCTCTTCATTGATGAGCTCCACACTTTGCTGGGGCTGGGCAAGGCCGAGGGCAGTATTGATGCTAGTAATCTGCTCAAGCCTGCTCTGTCGCGAGGCGAGCTTCAATGCTGTGGCGCCACTACTCTTAATGAATATCGATTAATTGAAAAGGATGTGGCCCTTGCCCGACGGTTCCAGCCTATTCTGGTGAGTGAGCCATCGGTCGCCTCAACTATTTCCATTCTTCGGGGCATCAAGAACAAATACGAAGTACACCATGGTGTCAGAATTACAGATGGTGCTTTAGTAGCCGCAGCTACTTACAGCAACCGATATATCACCGATCGATTCCTGCCCGACAAAGCAATTGATCTTGTCGACGAGGCTGCATCGGCTCTACGCTTGCAGCAGGAGTCA